GTTCCTGTGTTCTGATATCCTCTTATGCATGAATTGACAAATCTCCCCTACTAAAAACACTACCACACGAGCACAAACCTTGTTCGTGAATAATTTTTTTCTGGCTCTGACGATACCTGCCACATGACGGACGAAAGCTCAGCACGGAGTCATTGTGGTCGTAGGACTGTGAGCCGAGGTCTTATTCGCACAATTCAACAGACAAAAGTCATTCGGTATCCGGTGAGGCTAATCTACGAATCCCTTCCACCCGCCTTCCCAAACGAAATGACAGATATGCCAGTATCATTCTACTAAGGGATTCTTCGAAACCCAGCTTCTCTTCATCTAACTAGAATGCTTAATTCTTTATTTTATTGATAGACGGCAATATATTTCACCTATATTTCGTTTGTATTTTTATGCTCTTTATATTCTTGGATGTCAGGACGTATAGCGCTCATATTTTTATCTATTTTGCTTAGCATCATTTTTAGGTTCGCATTTTTTCGTTAATTTTCCTTTTAACTTCGCTACTTCTTATTATTTGCAGCATATGTGAGACCTCTCTTGTTAATGGACTTGATTGTCAGCTCAATGGGGGCAGTGAGACCGGCAGCTGTACTAGCACTAATAGTGAAGCAGCTACTGACCGATCTCGTCTGCGGACTAGATCAGCTTCTCGGGCTGCTGCTGCTGCTGCTGCTGTAACTACATCTACGTCAGCACCAATAGCTGTTTCATCTGCCGCTGCTGTTACTTGCTCTGCTATGAATACCTCCCCTACTGGTTTGTCCACGCCTCCAGTATCTGCAGCTTTGTCGACAATGACAACTCGTAAGCGGCAGCACAACTTTCTGGCTACATCTGCGCTCAGTCATAGTGACCTGTCTACTCCTGCCAACTCTGCAAGGACATCCTTAAACACTTCACGGGGCCATTCGCCGACTCTAGACACTGCTGCCGGCTCTACAACTTCGTCAGGTTTGGGTTGCTGGTTGAGGCCTCGGCATAAGCGAGAACGTGATAGTTTGAACGGTCTGACTACCGATCGAGGTAATACTATCAGTGCCATTAGTAGCAGTAATACTAGCAGCTACAGTGATAGTAGTGACGATGGCAGCAGCATTGGTGAGCGCCCAATTCGTTCTGATAGTCGTCACTCTGCCAGACGCATTGATTCAGAGCGGTGCCAGCAGAGGAAGGAAAATGGTGATGACGCGGAGGATGACGTAGAATTGGTTGACGAGGTCTCTGCTAATCTTGAATTTCACGGTAGAGGTGATGAAGGCAATTGCTATCAGACTTCTAAGTTAGCGGTGACGGATTTGACGTCTATATGCGATAATGGTTATACTGCCAGCGCTAGATGTCGTTCTCATCCAGAGTCTGCGCCTGCTCGAATCAACTCAACTAATTGTCGTCCTGTTAGCGCTGCCGTAACGAGCAACATGGCGGCCTCTATATCGACTCATCTTCTCGATTCGGCGGCTGACTCACCCTGGCTGACTAGTCTAACTGCTACAGTTGCTGCTGCGGCACAAGCGGTGGCACGTGCCCTTAAAACCACCACCAGAGCCGTGGCAGTGGCTGCAGCGTCCTCCACTCCCCATGGCGTCGGTCTGTCCCTCAGGGCCAGGAAGCGGGATCGTGGGGCTCGGAGACAAATTTTCCGGTTGCTCCAATTGAGGGCCAGACGTAGGCATCATACGCGCCAGCGAAGTATGAACAGAATCAAAAGTCAAAGAGGGAGGAGTAGTGGAATGATTTACTCAGGCACTTTAAAACTGAATCGAACTACACAGGGAGCCACACGCTGCTGTCTGGCTAAGAAATTGACAGAATCAGCTGTAAAACCGCCTACTTCTGGGCCTGATCGTTTGGATCACTTTTCAGATGATAACATATTAACTTTAGCTTTGGATGGCAGAGGAGATCGTAAGGCTGATCGTTTCGATGCTTCTGAAGTTGGTGAAGCTTGGAGACTCAAGAGGGGGCAGCCACATACTCTTAAGCGTTTGCGGCACAGTTCATCTCCCTCTATTTCCGCTAGCACTGGCTTCACCGCCACAGCCACAACACCAATTTCCAACCTACCCTCATTCTCTATCAATGGAATTTGCTTGACTGAAGGGCCTGCCGCCAAGCGCTCCTGTTACAGTCCCCTACTTTTGTCACGGGCCCCACTCTCTTCGCGTTCAAACCGATCGCGGCCCATCTCTGGTCTGGCTGCCATGCTCAGTGGTTTGCCCACAGTACGACTGACAAAATTCGATAATGAGAAGCAAGAACTAGAGCTTAGACGAGAAGGTCTGGCTAAACATTGTTTGGATCTCGCTAAGCGGGAGCCGGACGAAGTAGGTGGTCGAGGCGACAGTCAATCGACCGGTTGGTCGACGTCTTGTGAGCCCACAGATTTGACGCCAGAACCTGATTTTCTATCAGAATGTCGAGACTTATTGGTAAAGGTAAGAAAGCTGATCTCCATATTTTTCTTGAGTCTTGGATAGTAAACGACAGTATCTATATTGTGTATTTATCTATTATAAATAACTAAATAAACATATATATCACCTAACGATTGCTTATGGGACATTGGACGAGTTGTATCTGATTAACTTTTTTCTTACTTATTTTATCATGACATATGAATGCGAAATTAGAGTCTAGCCCGCTTTC